TCTTTACTGTTTATTTAGAAGTAAAATGTCTTACTTATCTATAAGTAAAAATTATTTGTTTAGAAGTAAAATACTTTTCTGGACTATTTATTCAATGAATTTGTTGCATGTCCAAGACCCCTGACCTCACGATGTTCTTAGTCTAGTGCACAAGACAGACCCAACATACCACTAACTGTAAAGTGTTATAATAGAGGTCAAGAAAAATGCTGTAAGTAGAAGGAAGAGTTATAAGCTTGACCTCAGACCTTGGCTCCAACATCCATTCCTCTGGGAAGCTTTTGTCATCATCCTGGTCAATGCAGCACTTTCCCTGGGATGAGAGGTGGGGGAGGGGGAGAGAGAGAGAGAGAGAGAAAATGAATATGTGTGTGTACATGTTTGCTATCTGTCTCCCTCTAGATGTGAGCATCTTGAGGGAAGAAACTGGACCCCTCCAGCACCTGAAACAACAACAGATATGCAGATATGCTCTGGATCAACAACTGTTCAAGACCAACATCCGCAAGGTGTGGAAAGAGACGTCAAAGCGGGGAGATAACGAGAAGCAGGTCTTGAAGAACCTGGACGTGGACCAGGTAGAGAAGGCTTTGCAGACCTGAGATTCAGTGTTAAACTGCCATGTCCAATCATCACATATGCCTTTAAGGACTAGAGCTTTGCACTTATGTGTGCAAATATCTTATAACTCACAGTGAGGTGCAAAATGCAGTCCCAGAACCAGTTCCAGGAGCTCAGTTTCTGTTATTACTGTAAAAATGTACTTTGCAAGAGGGTAAAATAAAACCATAATATGGATTCTGAGAGAGATTCATTTTTACTTAAAACCCTCTCAGCAACTGCATATTAGTTTAACACCTTCAAAGACACTGACATAACCAAACAGGTTCAATAAACTAGGTTTAGTAAGAGAAACTCAGAAACTTGAAGTGCTTAATTTCTTTAGAACCTTATTTTTCTTAAATTCAAATTAATTCATGTGGATTTTCAAGTTAACTTGAAGAATGGAAGTAACTTACCAAAATAAAAAAGTGAGCCTTGGCTGGGTGGCTCAGCTGTTTGGAGAGTTGTCTACACTAAAATGTCATGGGTTCGATCCCCCATCAGGGCACATACCTAGGTTGAGGGTTTGATTCCCAGTAGGGGCATGTACAAGAGGCAACTGATCTACGTTTCTCTCTCACATTGATGTTTCTCTCTCTCTCTTTCCATCCCTTCCTCTCTCTCTCTCTAAAATCAATGAAAACATATCCTCAGGTAAGAATTATTTTTGAAAAATAATTCTCTCACACGCCAAAAAATTCAATCAGCTTATTTACTGTTGACTGAGGAGGTAAAGGCAGAGATAACACAAAATGACATTTTACTTTGGAATGAAAGAGGCAGAGGACGGTAGCTACTTATTTTGGCTTCCGGCAAATACTTCACCAGAGCCACACACCCACTCCCTGCTAGGGAGGAGGACATCCGCAGCCTTGTCAATTTTCTGGAAGGTTCTAAGTAGGGAAAGGCAGTCCAGGCTGCCATATACTTAGTAAAAGCCACTTGGGTAGAGAAAGAGCATGTCCTTTTAGGCCTGAAGGGATTTGACTTAAAGGGGGACTCAGCCAACTTTTCAAGCTTTCATTCAACAGAACAGGACACTGAGGCCCAGAGAACTGACATGAGTTTTTCTCAAATCCAGTCAACAGAACCCAGGGATCCTGACTTGGTCCACCATCTTGTCTACTAACCTTGGCCGTCTCTCTTTAGGACATCAAAATTTTATACGTACAGCCAAAATGTTCAGTAGGGGAGAACACTCATGGAACAAGGCGAAGACCAGGGGTTCTGACGCTCATCCCCGAACATGAGAACTGAGTGAGTCATCTGGACATCCTCAGTTACATGTCAGAGATGATACAGAGTTGGCTGGCCCACAGCTGCACATAGCTCAACCTGATTTTCCCAATATTGATGGTTATGGCAAAGAGTCCTCCTCTGAGAGAAGGTCCCCAACCAGTTTTAAAGAATAAACAGGATTACTGGGATACCCAGCACCAACTCAGTGAAATTAATCCAGCAGGTGAGTAAACCAATAGGCTGGAGCTGCAGGAAGAGTGCCAGCCAACACCAGAGCACTGTGTTTAGTTGCCAGACTCTCAAAGTCAAGGGCGGGGTGTGTGGGGGGGAATCTGGGCCATGCAAATTTCTTTTGTCATCTGAGTTCAATGGGATTGGGGTTCTGAAAGAGTGTTCGTGCCATGGGGAGCCTTGAGGCATGACTTTCTCTATTCTTCACTAAACACATTTTAGGAAAAACAATGTTTCCTAAACTACAGACTTCATGGGATAAAAGAGGCAGAGGAGAAGACAGTCGAACATAATGGTGTAAAAAATACTATCAGAGAATCTTGATTAAGAAAGGTGAACCAAGATGAAATAAAGTAGTCCATTTTGACAACATGGGCAATACTACAGACCTATTTTTACTGATGCAAATAAAAACCGTAAGTTCTTCTGCATGATAAATCTAAACACTGGAGCACACAATTTTAACTGAAAGTTGAAACTATTTAAATTCTTGAATAAGTGATATTAGAGCATTGCTTCATTTTTCTTAAGCACTCTCTTGCAACAGGGTAATCCACTCATTACTGGAAAATTCAAGACTTAGACAAAGATCCATTGAGAGAGAAAATGCCACTATGACAAAAGAGGTGCACAAATTTTCTTTTTTTGCAGTAACCGAATACTGCTGGAAACAAGCAGGCAATTGGCAGACCAGGAAAACATTTTTGCTGTGCAGTTATTTGTATTACATCATTATTTATCATATGGTGGTATAATTGGGACTCTATGGGTCCCATCCTCCAAAAATCAGTGAATGAATGATTGATGGGAAGAAAATATGTCAACCTTCCATATACAGTTGAAACTATAGTTTGAGAATTAGACTCAGTGAACCATGTACTGCCTGGGCAATGACAAACTCAGTGTACAATATGTGTTCTCATTAATTAATGTGCACAATGGTCATCTTGACCATCTCCCCTATTGTAGTATTCATCTTTGGAGTACATTAATTTCATGTAGCAAATACACTGTTAAAATTACTTCAAAGAAAGATATGAAAATCCTCAGACCACACCAGGCACAGTATCCCAAGGGCATGTGAGGAATGGGTGTTAATCCCTAAGCATTGCCTTGATCTTTCTGCAGGGCTGCTAATCAGTGGATCAGTCAGAAAATTTGTTACTCAGTTACGAAATATCTAGACAAATGTTCTTTTAAGTTTTTAACACCATGTAGAAAAGTGAGATAAAGCCCTTTTAACAATGTATCATTATTTTACTTACACTTCTCTGGTTGTCATCACCTCCCAGGAACCTTCAAAACCAAAACACACAACTGACCAAGAGAATGTGTGAAGTTGCTAACACACATAAAGACTGAAGACAACTTAACTTTGGCTGGATCCTCATCTAGCCAGAGCAGGGAAAACTGGCAACAGTGACTAAGTAGAGAAACTCAGCCACTTCCGGTGTAGCCACATCAGTTTATTACAGGTGAACTGAAGAGGAAAGGACATATACTGCAGGTACTGTGGGACAAGGCATGCTGCTTACGTTTCCTTGTGTGTAAAATGGGCATAATGCCTTCAGAACATCCCATAAGAACATGATGAAATGAAATAAGAAAAACAGTTGGCTCAAAGGAAGTTCAGTTTCCTCTCCATACCAAGCCAGTATTGCTATGGCTACATGGAATGTGCCATTTGCATTAAGAAGGATGCATGAGGACAGACTGTATGTAAACATGCAGGCAGCAAAAACATGGGTTCTGTCTGACTTTCACAGGCGCTATTCAGACTCGGAACTAGGTTCTTAACTACAGGCATACCTCGTTTTATTGGCGTTTCACTTTATTGCGCTTCACAGGTATTGCGTTCTTTACAAATGGAAGGCAAGACCCTCCACCAGCAAAGAGATTATGACTCACTTCATTGTGATACTGTCTTTATTGTGGTAGTCTGGAACTGAACCAGAAATCTCTCCTAGGTATGCCTGTACTTAGTAATTTTTTTTGTTTGTTTTTTGCTTTTCTCTAAAAAGAAAGACGAGTGGATATTGCAGGAATTCAAGGATGACACAACACACAGCCAATCAGTCCCTTTGAGTGAAGCATGGCCGACACTTGAGTGAAGCAGTTGACAACCAACTGGGGATTCCAATGGCCTCTAATCATCATCCCAACTCGCTAATTTCAGTGGGAGAGAAGGCAAGAGAGATTGACCTTGATTCACCTCATTACCAACCAAATGTGGAAAACCCTTTAGCAAAGTGGTTTTCGACCTTGGCTGCACACTGGAATCACCTGTGGCGCTTGCTTTTACAACTCGGGGTGCCCGGACCACACCCCAAAGCATTTACTTCCCAACATGGAGTGGGGGCAGGCACCTATAATTTTAGTCCCCAGTGACCCAAGATGCTGCCAAGGTTAACAATGACCTAGGAACACCCCTCTTGACCTCATATAACTTCGGCTGCAAACCAACCCAGAGCGGTTCACCACCCCAGCTTCTGAACAGAGCAGGAACAGCGGGGGCCCACAGGCTGGCACCCCACAGGTGCCCCCCCCCCCAAGTCTACACACAGAGAGTTGAACAAACTGCTTATTAGCTATAGGGTTACCCAGATCCTCACCAGAGAGCCACTTTTTCAAATAGTTTGCACTTCAAAACCAAACAAACAAGTTCGCCAATTTTAAGAGATGTCACCAAAGCCCAATGCCTCTTAAGGTTTTTCTTCTTTTTCTTTAAGGCAAATCTCTTGGGAAGGACAGTCAGAATATAGGTGGGAGCTAGACCCCAGGGAAAGGCAGGCATAACCATACAGCTCCCGTGGCCTCCTGGAAGACTCCCCGCAGGCTCCCCCAGCGCGGGGTAGGCGGGTGCGCGCGGGCCCGCGGCCACTGCACCTGCTGGGCCGCACCTGCCGCGCCGGGCCCTCCCCTCCTACCTTCCAGCAGCTCATCGAGGCTGGTGACCTTCCTGCTGCCGTCGATGGTGTAGATGGTGCGGACGCCTTGGGGCAGGTTCACGTTGTCCGACAGGGAGCGGGTGAGCTCCATGAGCAGCGCATCGAAGGACCGGAAGCGGTCGCTGGAGATGGCAAACACCAGGCCCTTGAAGTAGCGGTCCCCATTCCGGTAGAAGCGCGCCTTCTTGGCCTTCTTCTCGGAGCTCAGGGCCTGCAGGGTCCGCGTGCGGTAGAAGCTGCAGTGGGCACTGTGCGCCGGGCTGGGGATGAGCCCGTTCCCCTTGGGGCCCGAGCTGCTGCTGCCCCCGGAGGAGCTGGGCGCCCCTCTCCGCGACCCCGGTCGCGGCCTTTTGTCCCGTTCCTCAAAGTGCTCCAGCTCAATGCTCCTGGTGCTGGCCATCGCGGCTGCTCCGAGGGCCCCCCGCAAAAAATACCGTCCCAGCCAAAGCCTGCAGGTAGCCGGGTTGTCAGTGCGAGCACCAGCTCGGAGGCGCCTGGCCGTGAGGGGCCTTAGGGCGCCGGGACACCTGGCTCTGGCATCCCGCCCTCCTCGCAGGTGGAGCTGCTGAGCCGCGGAGGCGCCGGCCGCCCGCGTCCTCCTATTAGTGGCCGCAGCGTCGAGCTGCCGGGCTCATTGTCCGGCGCGGCGAGCTCGGTCCCTCCCGCCTGCCGGGAGCCCCACGCCCCCACCAAGCGCCTCCCCCGCAGCCACGCCTCGCAACTCCAGCCGGGAGCCGGCTGAGCGCCGCCGCGGAGGGCCGCCCAGGGCTCGCCGGGTCCGCGGGCGCACACAAAGCTCGGCGCCCGGCGCGGCTCGCATCCGCCGGCTCCCCGAGCGCTGCGGGAAGGAAGGAAGGGGGAGGGGCTGGGAGCGTGGGAGCGGCGCTGCGGGCCGTGGGGGCGGCGCGCCCAGCCCGGCCCGCCCACGCGCCAGCCCCAGGCCCGGCTGCAGCAGCGGCGGCGCTGGTCCCCGGGCCCGCCCGAGGGACGGCGCGTGGCCGGGCTGGGAGGGCCTGGCGGGGTCCCTCCGTCCCACAGAGCCCGGCCCTAGCGGGAAATCACGCAGCCCGCCGTCTGCACCGGCGAGCACCGCGCCTGGACTCCCCCGAGACGCTGGCCCGGCCCGCTGTCAGGGCTGCCGGCCTTGCCGCCCCCGAGAGATGCCAGAACCCGGAGGGCGGGAGCTGGGCGAGCAGAAGGGGCCGGGCCGGTCAGCGGAGGAGCTGCAGCGGGACCCGAGCGGCTCCCCCTGGGTCCTAGGCAGCCCCGGCGCCTGACAGCCAGACCCGCGCCGCGTGGGCGCCAATGGGCGCAGCCCCGGCACGCGCTCCAACGCCTGGGAAACGTAGACACGCGGCCAAAAAAAAAAACCCACAAAGGAAGGAGATAACAAGGGCAGGGATCGTATCCCTCAGCCAGCCTCCATATAGGGAACGGAGGCCCAACTAGGCAAGACATGTGAAACATGGCACTGAGTTAGGGCACAAATTTTAATTTTTAAAAGCAGATTTGGAGCTTTACTTAGAAATTCTTTGGCAAAAAACAGCCTCCACAATTTCCACTGAAGATTCACTAACATGGCATGTTCGGTGACTTTGAATGAATGAATGATCAGAAGTTATTGCTTTCTGAGGGATTTATTTAACATACAAATATTTATTAATTAAGGGCATGCTATGGGCTAGGCATTGTTTTCGTCACTGGGGATGCATTAGTAAAAAAAAAAAAAATTCAACCCCTGCAACCCCCCCCCCCTTACATTCAAGTGGCACTTAACGTTGACAATTTCAGCTACTTGCTACATAATAGGTCGAACATTTGTAAGCACCCATCATATTGGAAATCTTAATTTAGTAGTGTCTGGTCAACAGTATTTTCCAAAGGCTTGTGAAAATCTTAGCAACATTTTGCCATCCAGGAACGATGAAACTAAAAAAATATTTGGTCCTAATCTGACAGGTGTGTAAATTCTGAGTGGCCCTAGACAACAAATCCAAAGTGAAGGGTATCCGTAGTTCCTCCAGGGTAGTTTCAGGAACATACCTGGGCATACCTGACTTCCAGAACCAGGACTGGAGTATGCTGGGAAGTCAGAGCTGATCTGAGACTTCAGTGTAGTTTTTCAAGGGGAAACATTCTGAAGGATAATTAGATCCAGGCCATGATAGGCTTCAATCCAAACCAATTAAATCAGAATCTGGGGATGGGCTTCTCCAACAATATTTGTTGAAAGTGCTCCTAATGTATAGCTAGGGTTTCCTTTGGGAGTCAAATCAGTGCTTCTTCTCAAACTCTGATGTACTTACATGTACTGGGAGAATCTCATAAAACACAGATTCTGATTCAATAGGTCTGGGATAGATTCAAAATTCTGTATTTCTTACGAGCTCGACACAAAGAACTAAACGGCAAACTCCTTGAGATAAGGTCCCATTAAGTACTAGTAATCGCAAAAGCTATCAACTTTGTAAATGTCTTAAAATGGGTGTATTCATATGTTTATTAGTATTTCCTGGGGGGGCGGGGGTGAGGAGAGGACAACACCTCTGTAATCTATTGCTGAAGTAACAAATAATCCCAAACTTTGTGATTTTCAACAATAGACATATATTATCTCAGCAGTTTCAGTAGGTCAGGAATCTAGGAACAGCTTTCCTCAAAGTCTCAGGAGATTACAATCAAGATGTTGACTCAGGCTGCATTCATCTGAACATTGGACTGAGGCTGTAGATCCTCTTCCAAGATAGCTCACTCACAGGGGTGTTGGGAGGAGGCCTCAGTTCCCTGCCGTGAGGACCTCCCTATAGAATCTTTTGAATGTTGTCAGATGTCAGCTGACTTTCTCCAGCGCAAGCATCCAAGAGAGAACAAGGTGAAAACTACATTTTTCACGATGTAGCCTTGGAAGTCATTCCCCAAATATCCTGTATGTCACAGGTACGCCCGAGTCAGTGTAGGAGGAGACTATACAAGGGTATGACCACCAGGAGTTAGGGATCACTGGGGTCATCATGCAGGCTGGTAAGCACGGGCTTCAATCATTAACTCTTTAGACTTCAATCATTCAATGTAGGACACTGACATAAACACATTTTCTCTCTCAAAAATTCTTGCTGAAAGATTTTGCCCTTTTAGAATAGTGAATACAATAATGTAATATGCCAGTATTTTAACATTATTCCCTGATGTTATATCCCTAAGTTAAACAAAGATTACTGCTTTTCAACAGGGGTAGAAAAAGAAGAGAAAGCCTTTTTATAGCTGTTACTTAGTTTAAAAAAATATTTTGCTCCTGCTCTTTGCATTAATCTGTTTGAAGAATTTTACCTCTGACCCTTATATAAAAATTAAGATACAATCACTTTTCATAAGACATTTTCTTAGTAAATATAAAATTTATCAAGACCCAGTTGGCAAAAATTTGAAGACTTTTTAAGGTGGAAAAAAAACAGTTTAGCATTACAATTCTAATGCAAACAAAATTTGGGGGCTCTAGGTAGGCAACTATTAATTAATTTGGGTTACTTCAGTTCTCCCCTTTTAAGAGGTTGCAGAACTTGCTGAGTAAAATATTTTAACTGGCTTTCCTTTGTTGAGATAGCCCCCCCCCCCTTTTTTTTTTTTTTACCAAGAAACAGTATCTGATTTCCTAATTATTTGTTCTTCCAGAGATGGCCTAATTCTCCTTGGTGGTTGCAATGCCTTACAATTCTGTCTGCCCCACCCTGATGTGGAAAGGGTTTCTTTGGGAGCCCCTGGCCCTGCCTCTTCACCCCTCAGAAGCTCCTTGACCTTGGCTCTCTGTTGGTGTAAATTCTCTATACTTTTTTCTAACCCCTTGTAATCAAACACTCATCTGAATGAAAACTTTTGTGCAGAGTACTTTAAAAATGGCTTTATTTCTATGTTACAGAAAATCTAAGAATTTTAATCCAAAATCTCTTCTCCATTTTTTTTTTTTTTTTTGCATGATTGGAAATGACCTTTTTCTGCTCTTGATATATAATCATTTTAACTTTCACATCTAGTGGATGTGAACATTTTGTTGGCGATACCCAAGAGGGGGCTTCTCAAAAACGATGTGGGCAGAAAAAGTCAACTGGACATGCAGGAGAGGTGGGCGTGTTCTGTTCTCAATACTTCTCTTTGGCTCACACAGATTAGCAATACCGCCCAGAGCAGCTGTTAGCTCAGTGGTACCTCCCTCTCCCCTTGCTCACCTCCCCACCTCCACCTTGACTAAGAAATACAATGCAATTTTTTCTTTTAGTACAATTTGTTTAAATGAGATTTTATTACATATGTACTTCCTTGTGGAGGTTTGCACAAGAAACTTGCCTTGAATAACTCCTGGTTTTGCTTCGTGCTACTTTATTTCTCAAATGCATTGGCTAATCTTTAATTTTGGCCAGAAATTTCTGCTTTGAAAGGCAGTTTTCCAGCGACTCCATTACTTATTACATAAAGGATGCTGACGAACCTTTTAAGCTGCACTGTGCTGAGACTTTCTGCTGTCTCATGTTTTCATCATTCCTGTTCACAATGTGCCAGTCATTTCTCCCAGAAGCCAAAGTGATGAAACAATTGTTTTTCAGTGGAAGGGCCTGGTGACTATGAACTTGAATTTTTGAAACTGAGCATTATTTTTAATTTCATCATCTTGAATGATTACAAATTCTAGTGTGTTCTTTCAAGCTTTAATGAGAAAAGGTATAAAGCAAAGCTGTTCAGAAAGAGACTCACCCTAGTCCATCACCTGTACCCAGCCTGGAAAAAGGTTCTGACAACTATTCTCTTATCTGTTGTTTCACCTTGGGAGCGTTGCTGTCCTTTGCAGCCATGATTCTTACAGCACTTTACAAACATATTGAGGACTTATTTGCAAACATATATGAGAGGGATGTTTAAAACTAAATTTTCAGGTTCAGAAAATTCTAATTTAAATCACTGGGTAAGTCTTTCAAAAATCCAAGTTTATTTCTTATATAAAGGTATCAGATGAATTGAAGAAAACTTCAAATATGCATACTTTAAGTGTGTATAGTACACAAGCATTTGATTTTTCAAGAGAAAACTGGTTGAATAGTTAGTTCTCCCTATTGGTACATTACACTTCCACAAAATATCTGGAACAAAGAGTCCTACCTTACATGTAAATTCTATATATTCAAAATTATACTCAGTTATTTTGTCATTTGCTAATTAGTTGTAATATTTGCTAAAATGAAAATAGTAAAAGCATTAAAATTCCATAGCCCCTCTTTTTTCTAAAAAATTTATTTATTTTTTCTCTTAAATCTTCCTGAGAAGAAAATCTAGGCAGGTAAGTGGTACTGTCCCTACTTTCCAGGTGTGGGAACAAAGGCGCAGCTGAGTGATTTTCAACAATTATTTCAATAGTATCAAAAGTGAAGGACCATGGGGAAGTATTTTCGCACTCTTGTTTTGTTTCTGTAAAATCATATTTCCCAAACCCAATAGAAAATTTACTTTTTGAACCTAGGCCTTTTGCTTCATTTAAAAATTAAAAAGAATTATTTAAAAATTCATCATGCTTATAGTAGTTTCCTTAGTTCAGTAGCACATTCCATGTTTAGGTAAATGCTGAATGTGACACATCATGTTCATGTCATTCTGTATGTCAGATTAAAATAATGATGATAAAGAGGATTTAAGAGATAATAAAGCTTTTATAATGATTAATAAGTAGATATGACCTAGTTAAAGACACAGGTTGTAGATGAGGAAATAAGACAGGCAGGACCAAGCAGCAGACATAGACATTGACTCCAGGATATGCAACTCTAGAAAATGCTCATTTCAAGCTTTCAAAATTCATTCATCACAGAGGTCTGTTTCTTTAGGATTTATAGTTAAAATGGATGATTTTTATACTTAACCGTAGGTTTATAATGCAAATTAGCTGGTTATTTTAGTACATATGTTCTGTCACTCATATACGTAACTGAAATATTCAAGTGTTAAAACAATGTATTTATCTTATAAATGGGAA